GGTTCTATAGCCTTGGATGGCAACTGGTCTAGAGAAGGACAACTCTGAATTCAAAACCTGCGGATGGTCGTTTTAAACCTTGTGGCACTGATGCACCAGGTCTCTGTATTCGTCTCTTCAAAAAGTGTGGATGGTCCTGCACGAGGCCTTCACCACTATAATCAAATCTCATGTGCCGGTGTCAGGCTGTCAGTTTCCTGGAAACTGATCTGCTTGACCCTCATACGTCGAATCTCACAAGTGTCATACCACTGGACCAACAGGCCTCGGTGATGAAGAAGAAACTAGAATCAATTCGATTCTCAATAGTGGATGTGCACTGATGAGGAGTCCCAAATAGGACAAAACGGCTGTCCAATGCTTTTTGTATTCTGTTAAGGATTCTTCTAGACCCAATGAATTAATATGAATGATTATTCAAATCCCCCTAAATTTCTATCACATATATATATATATATCTATCACATATATATATCTATCACATATATATATATATATATAGTGTGTGTGTATTTAAGCAGCATTTTTTCATTGATGCATGTTTCATTAAATAATATAGACAAGTTTTGTCTATTTATTTTATGTGAATTCTTTTCATATCATCTGATAAGCTTAATAACATTATCATTAAAAGACGAAAGAAAATCACCATATTGATACATGTTTTTTAATCCTATCTAAGCTTTCGGCTTACATAAGCTATTATCAAAGATGACAATTACATTACAATATATTAACCAATACCCGGACAAAACAATAATGATAGTCTGTTTTTGTTTGCATGGAAGATTTCCAAGTAACGACAAACTCATGCAGACGAGACACTGGATATATATATATATATATATATATATATATATATATATATATATATATATATTTTCTAAGGCATTAATATATTTTATTTATAATCTGAGATTGTTTCTTATTACTTAAACATTACATATAACGGATACATATATTTGAGTAGACATCTCTTTTAATATGTTTACCAGCCTGTGCATTTAAGAGGAAATTTACCCTCCAGTAGGGTTTAAAGATGCATCCACTTAAACCCAGCCTGATTTTAGATGACTAAGTCATGGAAGTCTTTTGTAAACCAAGCAAGCTTCAAATACCCTATTTAAGAAATGTACATCTCTTGTTCAGAAAGCCCATATTGGATAATTTTTATTTTCATATCTGAAAAATAAACAAAGTAATTTTTAAGGCAGGCATGGGCAAACTTTTTCAAGCAGTGGGTTGTATAATCATTGACTCATTACAAGTTGGGATTCACTAGTAAAAAATTTAAGGTAATTTTTTATAGTAGGTACTTCAGCTACTTTCATGGTAGGTACCTCAGCTACTTTCACTACAGAAGATGATATGCATAAACAAATACCTTAGAATTGATAGAGAAATCTTTTTAGAAAAGAGATTTTTTATTCATTAAAAAATTGAAATCTTGTTATAATATTAACACTGATGACACAGCGATTATCACATGTCACTGCATGGGATTTATTTCTAATTTATTCATTTGAAAATGCAAACATTTCTGCTTTAGTGAAAAATTATGAACATTTCTTGTTTCAAAAGTAAAAGATGTTTACACATAAGATCTTTCTTAGTGAAAATTGCCAATTGTTTAAAATGCTGACAATGTTGCCCTGAAATTTATAAAATTCAAGAAATATTGTTTATGTATGTGGTTATGTATGAGAGAGTGTGTGAGTGAACAAGTGAGCATGAAAGAAAATTAAATTTTAAGAAATGTTATTTTCCTTATGAAATTAAGTGTGTCATTCAGAAAGACCAAATGGGCTGCATGTGACCCATGGGCCACAGTTTGCTGTTGGCTGATCTTTTTTTTAAGCATTTCACCCCAAGCAAGGTATCAAAAAAGTTTTTCATTTAGAGCCTGTAGGTATCATTCCATTCATGTACTAATAAAAGACTTTTCCCTCCTCTCACTAAACCTTCATACTATTAATGCCTCTCCAAGGCATTGATAGTATGAAGGTTATCATTATGGAAAATGGAATTGTCAAGTTCAAATTTCAGGTGAGGTTGTTGCATTCATTTTCACACTAATGACTCCAGGGAAAGGCAGAAATCCATTTCACCTATACCCAGTTATGGGTCAACGAACAGACTTGAGGCTTAGATGGCAGCCAGTTGAGAAAGAAGGGCTATTGTCAAATTCAAAACTGTGGAAAAAACAATGGAAAAAACACTCTTTTTTATCAATTCACACTAAGCAAGGCCATAATGCCACTAAGATGCAAGTGGCTACTGGAAGTAAAAGAGAATGAAAAGACATTAGAAGCAACTGGAAACCTGATCCTAACCAATGAATAAACCTTTACTCCTGTTCAAAAGACCAGGGAAGTATTAATGCAATTAACCAAAATTCAATAAGAAAGCTGTGGAGGGTCATGATTACCTACATTCTGATGGGCTATAACATTTAAAAAAAGAAAGAGATTAAACTATGCTTATCTTTAGGCTACAGAGAGAAATTTCAAATTTTGTTTTTCTTTTTGAGAAAATGTTAGTAAAACGTTTATTGATTTGTTTTATTAAAATTAAAGGAAGTTTTCAATTTGGACATTTCCTGTAATTAACATTAAAAATTATTCCACATCAATTTTAAAAGAACTGTTATGTTAAGATTCAACTGAGTGTTTCTCTTCATCTTTTTCATGGAGAGAAAAACTGATAGATGCTCAACTTAATTATAGCCCTCAATGAAACAATACTATGAACACCAGGAGAGTAAACGTATGTGACTTTCAACTCAGATATGAAAGAGATGAACATAAAACATTCATAAAATTTATGTAGAGTGTCTCTGACGTTAAAAAATATTAATATCCCAATTATTGAACCCCTTCTTCCTATGCTTGCTGTTTCGACCAATCTAATTCTCAGCCATCAGCAGGTGTACTGCAATGTGAATAAAATAAAATACTTCCTTCTAGGAAAAGAAACAAAAGTCAATGGAGAATTATTTTTAGATATTCACAATCAACTTTGGTATAATATAGTAAATAAGTAAGTAAATATATGACTTGAGATTATGTCATGTATCTTTGATGATACAAGTGCTAAAGTCTCTGTACGTATGTATCTGTGAATGTGTTTAGTTTGTACTTATATACATGTATATAATTGTATTTGCTTTTCCCGTGCTTGTCAGTGAATGTAATTCAGTTTCTTAACATACTTATATATTGATCTCAGTCTATTCTTATCTATCTCTGTTTATATGTATCTATCTATCTCAGTCTGTTCATATGTATGTATGTATATATCTATCTCTATCTCAACCTGTTCATATCTATCTATCTATCTATATTGATAATATTAGTGGTCAATATATATATATATATATATATATATATACATAAATTCCCAAGAGGATAGAATCCAGGTAGAACTCAATGTCCAGGACAGAGTAAGAATATAATATAAAAGGCTCAAACACTAATATTCCATGGTTATAATTTATTACATTGTAATTATAATCATGATCAATTCATCAAACCTACAAATATATATATATATATATATATATATATATATATATATATATATATATATATATATATATATATATGTGTGTGTGTATATATATATATATATATATATATATAAAACCTGAATCACTAGGCCAAATGATTTGCAGTACAGTTTGCTTGGACAAAGTGTTATATATATATATATATATTCATATGTATCTATCTATCTATATATCTATATATCTATCTATATATATATATATATATATATATATATATATATATATATATATATATATATATATATATATATATATATATATATATATATATACATATATATAGATACATATGAATAGATCAAGATAGATAGATAGATACATACATACATATGAACAGACTGAAAAGGATATATATATATATATATTTGTCCAGGGCTTAACCATAAATTTAACAACACAGAATTAATATATAACCTCATAAATCAAGCCCTACCCACATTTCTCACCACATAAGACATAGGCATGTTTGCAGAGGTGTTGAGGTCTCGCACTTATATACACGCTCAAACAAACATACACACTCAAGCAAATATATTAACATACACACATCACATATATAGGCTCCAAAAATTAAAAGATAACATACACTTAACACATACATCCCATTCCTAGCAAACAATAAAACTGTCAAAATGGTCAAGGATGGAATTCTGAAAGTCAGGAATCTGCCTTCTCTATCTTAAAAACAACTTCAAAGAAACCATTTAACCAACACAAGGACAAAGAAAATAAATGAAAACTACAGATAAAGTTTACTTTCTTCAGAAACAGTCATTCACTCCTGTAGTTCACTGCTACTTATACTTATGGCCATGATGGCTGAAACTAGTTGAGGAACTTAATTGATATAATAAAACAAAAAAATATTAATATACAACCCAATGTGTCTAAAAATTTAAACGTTTTAATATTTTTTATTGTTCAAAACATACACATATATATATATATATATATATATATATATATATATATATCAATCAATTTAATATTGATCTATCTATCTATCTATCTATCTATCTATATATATATATATAAATATATATATATATATATATATATATATATCAGGCTTTTCTTCAGGCTTACTTTTGTTTGGTAGCCACCTAAATTGAGGTAGAAGCAGTAACAGATTTGGTTGTGAGTGTTACTGATATTATTGAGCTGAGCTTAGTATGACATAAGGAGAAAATAGGAAAAGTTAGATTATGCAGTGCCCATCTTCTTGAAACTGAATACAGTAAATATTGGCCCATTACCTGTTTTGCTAAAATATTAATCACAGGATTGACGGAAAATACTTAACTATCTCACCACACGTAATATAATCGTGTACATATTAGTGCATATATGACATGAGAGAGTTTCAATAATGGGTGTGAATATGCATGGGTATGGAGAGGAACTGCTTAAAAATAACCAAATATCAACAGACTGATAGATAGATAGATAGATAGATAGATAGATAGATAGATAGATAGATGTGATCAGAATTAGATAGATATATAGATAGATAGAGATATAAATAGACTGAGATAGATAGATAGATAGATAGATAGATAGATAGATAGATAGATAAATTAAATAAGTTTTTAGACATGAGCAGAGTCATAGAGAAAAATGTAGACATTCACATACAATAATATACAGAGTACTGCATGAATTAGAAAAATAATTATGTACATATATGAATGTGTGTGTGTATATCTATCTATTTATCTATCTATCTATATATATATATATATATATATATATAAACTATATAAACATAAGAGGGTAGTATAATTATTATTTGTATGCTTGACTGTGTGTGGTTTTGTGTCTAAGAGTGTATGTGTGTGTGTGTGCCGCTGAAAGGCAAATTGATATGTAAATGACTAATTATACTGAAAATAGAAATCAAAAATAGATTTAAGAGTGAAGGAGATTACAAAAGAAAGAGGAAAGAAAGAAAAATAAAAGGAAAAATGCATAGGAAAGAATGAAAGATAGAAGGAAAGAAACAAAATAAAGACTGAAAAAAAAGGAGTGATCTCCAAATGAGCAAGCAAAAAAGAAAGAAAGAACAAAGAAAGAAAAAGAATAAAAAAGTAAAAGAGAGAAAGGAAAGAAAAAGAAGAATAAGGTGCGAATGAGGAAGAAAGAAAATCGAATGGATGACTATGAAAAAGAAAGAATCATTAAGTATAGAAAAGAATGAGAATAGGAACGAAAGAAAGAGCAGAAGGAGCAGGAAGAAAGAAACGAAGAAAAATGCGTGATTGATTTTGATTTGACAAATCGTTTTTCTTTTCTCGTTTGTTCTGCTTCATCCAACACAGAGAAGAACATGAACACAAAATGATGCAGACAGACAACTTTATTCGACGTGCACAAGTGTACCACACAAAACAGTTAATCGATAGATTTCTTCGATTTTCCGTCCACGGTCGCCCTAGCCTACTAGACCCACCCATCTTCATCCATGAGAATACTTTTATGTCTTGTCTTTATTTTCTTCTTCATTTATTTATTCTTATTCTCATTCATTCATTAATTTGGTCTTTCCTTCATTCATTTCTCTCTTTCATTCAGATTATCAAATTCTTTCATTTTCTATTCACTTGTATAGAAACCTTTAAAAAATGAAGACTTTTTTCTTCCACCTTCTCATCATCCTTGCCTCTTCCTTCTCCCTTTTATTTCTCTAATTTACCTCCTACTACCTATCATCAGCATAATTTTCTTCCCTTTTGACTTTCATTTCACTCTTACTATCATGGTATTTGTTCCTTTTCCTTTTCCTCTTCTGCTCTCTCCTCCTACCATCACAGATTTCAGTCTTCACTTTTCTCCTTCTTTGTCTGCTTACCTCCCACTTATTCTCTCATATTTTCCTCCTCTTTTTCTCTTCTCATTATAAATAACTTTCCCTTTCTCTTTTTCTCTTCCTTCTCTTCTTACTGCCCCTTCCAACTACATCCTCTCCTTCCTCTTTCCTCTTCCTCTTCCTCATACAACCTCATGCTTCAGAAATAGGTGAAAATTTTATTTAAAAAGCAACAACAATAAATAAAATTAAAATTAAGAAACACAATTCATAAAATTTAAACAGAAAAGTCAACAGACTTGTAGAAGGATATAAAAGAAGTAGGGTGGAATAAAAAGAGTGGGAGGAATGGAATAAAAAGAGTAGGAGGTGTGTGAAAGATGAATGAATGATGGGAGGAAGTGGAAAGATGTGGTCTGATTGTAAAAATGATGGTGGTTAAGAAAAAAATAGAAGGTAAAAGGAGAAGAAGAAGTACAAGCAAATGAAGAAAAAAATCAGGGAAATGATAAAGAGGAAAGAAGAAAAGGAAGATAAAGAAAAAAAGGAAGAGGAAAGAAGAAAAGGAAGAAAGAAGGAAAGGAAGAGAAAAGAAAAAGGAAGAGGAAAGAAGAAAAGGAAGAAAGAAGGAAAGGAAGAGAAAAGAAAAAGGAAGAGGAAAGAAGAAAAGGAAGAGGAAAGAAGGAAAGGGAGAGAAAAGAAAAAAGGAAGAGGAAAGAAGAAAAGGAAGAGGAAAGAAGGAAAGGGAGAGAAAAGAAAAAAGGAAGAGGAAAGAAGGAATGGAAGAGGAAAGAAGAAAAGGAAGAGGAAAGAAGGAAAGGAAGATAAAGAAGTAAAGATTTGTCAAATAGGGAAGAAAAGAAAGAAAAGAGAGTATGAAAAAGGTAGAGAAATTTTTAAAAAAAGGAAGATGAAATCAAAGGTGTAGAGAAATAAAGAAAAAGAAAGAGAAAGGTGGGGGGAGGACAAAAAGGAAAGAAGATAAAGGAAGGAGGAAAGTGTGAAAGTCAAAAGGAGAGGAAAGGGAAGAGATGACATTTCACAGTGTGCCGCAGAACGTCACAATATCAGCCAATCACAGCCCATGGATCGTTCCCAATTTAGCCCCGCCCCTGAGCAGTCATTCAAATTGACACATTTGTCACCCACACAGAACGGAACAACTTAGAGAGTTACTTTTCAATGGATAAAGGCAGGCGGTCTAATGTGAACAAAAGAAAAAAAAGACAAATACAAATGAAGATATATTAACAAAGCCTGTCTGAGCATGTCTGTGTGGGAGTGTGTTCATTTAGGTAGGCCTAAAAATATACATATACTGACAAATGCACACACAGACACAACATACATTCAAATAATCATGCACACAACATTGATAGATGAAGTGAATATATCAATTGGCCAATATTGGTGTGTATGTGTGTGTCTATCTATCTACCTATCTATCTATCTATCTATATATATATATATATATATACTGCGTATATTTTGGCATCATGTTTTCATTAAGACAGGTTTCATTAAATAATTTCGACATGTTTTGTCTACTTATTTTTACTAAGATCCTCTCGTAATTATGAACAAGTTTCTTAGAATCCTTATTGTAGGAAGAAAGAAAATTACCGTGTTGATTCATATTCATTTTATTCAGAGTACTTTCAACATTAGTACAATGTTATCATCAGGGTCTTTTTATATATATATATATATATATATATATATATATATATATATATATATAAAACAGGCCACAATGAGATCAAGTAATAATAAAACAGTGGGTAATTATTATTTTTATTTATTAATCTATATAATTTTTCTATTTACTTTTATTTTTATATATTTATTTTATTTTAATCTAATTATTTTTATCTATTTTTTCTATATAAATATTTAAAAATATATATAAATAGAAAAAATATATATATAAATACATGTATTTTTCAATATATTTTATTATATATATATGTATGTATGTATGGTTGTATGTATGTAGGTGTGTGTATATATAAATATATAAATACACATATATTTGTATATTTAGGCAGCAATCCTTGCTTTATGCATGTTTCATTAAAACGACAGACAAGGTACTACGGTTGAGCTTTTTATTTAATTTTCTTGTGTTCTAATAAGAGCTTTTTTTTTTCTTTTTTTTTTTTTGTGTAAGAACTGTCCGAATGTTCTGTAAAAGAGCTTTTTTTATACCTTTAGCCATTATCAAGGATGATTCAATTATCAGCTTAGTAGAGTGTGTGTGTTCTGTGTATGTTCAGTGTGTGGCAGTGATGTTTTAGTTTCCAATAATGTTAGCACATTGTGGCTTTGTTCATAGTTAATATTGTTAAGAGTTGGCTTTTTTTTTTTATTATTAGAGCTTCCATTATTTTTAGTTTTTTTTGCAAGTGGATGCAGTTAATATATTTGTGTTTTCTACTAGTATGTTCCTAATAGTGTCGGGTAAATCTGAGTGTGTGTTTAAATGTGTTCTGATGTAACTGTGATCAGATAGGTGTAATGTAAGACGTCTGGATAAACATGTGGTTGTGTAACGATGTAATTATTTATGAGTCCTGTTTGGTGAGGAACGCAATTCCTTAAAGGGCATTTGAACTCATAGATAATGTTAGTTCTTTGTAATTTTGACTTAGTTGGTGTGTTGTTATTTTTGAGGATAAGGTTGACCGTCTTAAATTTTTTATAATAGATAATAAGTTTGATTTTTTATTCGGATCAATAGGAGTAGTATATTTCTTTATAATATGTCTTAGAGAAGATTCATCTTGTTTGTAATTAATATGCATTTGGTTTTTGTAATAAATATGTATGTGATTTTTAGTTGTGTGTTAATTTATCGTTATTACTTGCTTTGGGGAGGAATAGTCTAATTTGTTGGTCTATAAGGTAGTTAGGGAAACCGTTGTTAATTAGTGTTTGTTTAACGTTGTTAAGTTCTTTTGAGAAAGAGTAGTCGAGAGGATGAGTTCTGGTGGGCTCTATTTAGAAAGTTTTTTTATTACAGCTATTTTGTACCTAAGTGGGCATTCGCTTTTTGAAATTAAGGTGGCACGAGTTTTTTGCTGGTGGGTTGAACATGAACAAAGCCACAATGTGCTAACTGTATTGGAAAACTAAAAACATCACTACCACACACTGAACATACACAGAACACACACACTCTACTAAGCTGATAATTGAATCATCCTTGATAATGGCTAAAGGTATAGCCAAAAGCGCCGAGGAAATACAGAACATTCGGACAGTTCTTACACACTCTTTGTCCAGAAAAGAAAGCTCTTGTTAGAACACAAGAAAAATTAAATCCAGTGTTCTTTAGTATTTTTGTTTTTATTTTTAAAAAACAGTGCTCTATACAGATGTAGAGCTTAAATTATATATATTGCCGGTTGATCCAGTTACTGAAAAAAACTCAGCCATTCTGGCCGGGGCCACACACAGAAACAAAGAGTTCCCAAGACAATCACATATGCAAAGGAAACTAGACAATAGAAATAAACAAAATAAATCAAAACATAAAAAGAAAAACTTTAAAAGTTTTGCTTAAGAAAGAAAAGTACAGAAAATTAAATACAGGACCTCATGCATCGAACTCGATGGGAGAGTCCATCATATATATATATATATATATATATATATATATATATATATATATATATATATATAATCATTCACAGGCAGAGAATGTTTCACTGTATCACAGCTCTTCAGTGTGGCTAGATGATTGCTTCAAGCCAGGATCGAAACCTGACTGATTTGACATCAGTCAGATA